CATAGTGACACAGGAAGATCTGGATAAATAGCCACACCTAGAAAAAGTAAGCATCCCATTGAGAAAAATGTCGACCTGTTAATTGGCAACAATGCTCCCAGGTTATTGGAACCATGGGAGGTCGTCAACAGCTGCGGGAATGGCCCGTATGCCATCAGGACAGTGCTGGGATGGGCCGTAAATGGTCCACTGGATGGAAACGGTGGCGCCATGGAGGCAGAATTTCCCTCTGCAATGGTAAACAGGAGCACTGTGTGTGAACTGGAGGAGATGTTGGCTGCCCAGTATAACCATGACTTCAATGACAACAATGTGGAGGATGAACAAATGTCAAGAGAAGACATGACTTTTTTGGAAATTGTCAGTCATTCAGTAAAGCAGGTGGAAGGGCATTACAGCCTGAAAATGCCTTTTAGGAAAGAGCAGCCCATGCTCCCAAATAATCTATCAGTGACCAAGCAAAGGATTCTTGGGCTCAAGAAAAGGTTTGAGAAAGATGAACAGTTTCATCAGGAGTACGCAAACTTCTTTAATGACATCATTGGTAAAGGATATGCAGAGAAAATCCCTCAACATCAATTGGACTGTGATTAAGGAAAAGTCTGGTATATCCCCCATCATGGTGTTTACCATCCCAGGAACAATCATTTGTGGGTTGTGTTTGACTGCAGGGCAATGTTTAAAGGAAGATCAACAACAAACTCTGGGAGGTCACGTGATGCACTCAGAGTGAGAGGATCGTTTTTGCCTACCTACTACCTCTAAGGCCAATTATTGCTTATTTTTAACTGATTAAACCCCAGCTACTTCAATCATTTTTACTGGGAAACAAGTCTGGAGCTGAAGGAAACATCAATACACGAGAATCCTCGCGAAGAACTGGCTCCAAAGCAAAGAAATTACACACGGCTAACACTGAAGCTAGCATGGAAAATAGTGACGGCACGCTTTGTGAAGACAACGTGGCTAACGCTATTGCCCAGAATGGTACGGAGAAGATAAGCGCCTTAATGGAGTTGAAATTTGCTGAACTGAAGTCCTCTCTGGACAAATTGACTACTTGCATTGGAGACAACACTAAACGTATAACGGAGACAGAGTGCCGCATTTCTGATGGCGAAGACCGCACTGCCTCTCTGGAGAACAAGCTGGCCGAACTTGAGCGGAGAGTTAAAGCTTTAACCGACCAAGCCGAAGACAGCGAAAGTAAGAGCCACAGAGACAACATACGAGTCATCGGGGCTAGAGACCAAACGTGGAATCATTAAGATTGACAGGGCGCACAGAGCCCTTGGCCTGCCGAAGAAGGATTATAACAGGCCTGTTATAATTAAACTGCACAATTTCGGCAACAAACAAAAGATTCTCGCAGCGGTCAGAGAGAAGGGTGAGCTGATCTTCCAGGGCACCAGGATTCAAATCCGTCAGAATCTGTCTACCCAGGTGAGGGAAGCCAGACGCCAATTTAACGGTACATGGGAGCGCCTTATTCGGAGAGGAATACATTTCCAAATGCGATATCCGGCCAGCTTATGCTTCACCTTCAATGGCGAGGAACACACATTTAAAAGTCCGCGGGAGGTTGATGACTTTCTGAGCAGGAATGGTGCCACCTCGGGACACCTGATGTCTATGTTCTGCACACGCAGCGGAGATGAACATTTTTTCCAGGCTGATGGTCATTACGCATGGAGCAGCAATATATAGATGAGGAGGAGACCCCGGCGACTTATGTCGGACTTTAACTGATAGATTTATACTTCTCCTGACTTACCTCTACTATGATCAACGGACATTCCCGTTTGGGAAAAGCAAAATGCGCAAGTGTTGGTATTTCATTTCCAAAACTGTTATTATTTCCCTTCTACGGTTCTATTCTGTGTAGAAGTTACGTGGAGGGAATTTACTCCCGAGCAGGTAAAAAATATATAGATATTCATATTATGGTAAGCATGTAGATACTCATATATCATGCATACATATTTATCCAAATATTACGTTACTGGGGTTTGGTCATATCGATGTTTATGATAGGCTGGGGGGGAGGGATGTGGAGAAAGAGGTTCAGGTGTGGGATGGATATGCCTACGGCTGGTGCGTCATTCTCTCTTAGTGGTGGAGGGATACCTTTCTGCTTCAATCGTCCCAGGACACGTATTGCCAGTGAATGGCTGTTGTTTGATTCTGTTCTTGTTCTTGAGGGGTTCCTTTTTATTTTGGGGTTTAGTCTATCGTTTGGAGGTGGTTTTTCACAGGCAGTCTTTTCTTTTCTGTTATTTTGTGTTTTACTGTATTTCTACACTCTAGCCTTTCTGTGTATGATCAATTTATGGCCCTTTGGTAATCTGTATTCTATTACCATGTCTAAGCTCCCACTTGACACAGAGAAAGTAATAATTGTATGAGTGATTTGAAAATTATTTCACTTAATGTGAAGGGCATTAACCATGTCATCAAACGCCAGAAAATCTTATCTTTCCTTAAGAAAGAGAAATGCCAAATAGCACTTCTTCAAGAAACCCACCTTTCAGATGCAGAACATATAAAATTAAGGAGGGGCTGGGTGGGCCAAGTATTTTACTTGTCGCATAACTCTAAAAGCAGGGGGGTTGCAATTATTCTACATCGTAGCTTGCCCTTTACCCTTGATAGAACTAAAACAGATAAGGAGGGTCCTTATGTACTTCTGTCTGGCTATTTATATGCTGAACATATTGTCATTGGATGCTTATACGCTCCTAATGCATTTGAAGCCTCCTTTATCCCACAGCTTCTCTCAGATATGGCAACTTTCTCCTCTTCATACATACTTTTGGGAGGTGATTTTAATTGTGTGCCTAATCCTAATACTGATATTTCTCCCCCCGTTCTACTCTCTCCAAAAACAGTGCAAAATTAGGTGACTTTATTGGTGACCTTGATTTGTATGATGTCTGAAGGGTGTTACATCCCTTAGATAAAGATTATACGTTTTTTTCATTCCCTCATCAGGTTTTTTCCAGAATAGATTCTTTTCTTTCTTCTAACTCTGTCTTGGATAGATTAGTGGACTGTAAAATTGGATCACGAACCCTTTCTGATCATTCCCCTGTAAGTGTTATTATCTCCCCCCTACAGAGATCCTGCCTGCAGACACTGGCGTCTAAACCCTTATTTATTAAGTAATAATCAGTTTGTAGAGCATATTACTACAGAGTGGCAGCAATTTATGGCTGTAAATAAGACTCCAGATATAAGCCCCTCTATCCTGTGGGAATCTGCAAAGGCGTGGGGCGATTATATCTTTTACATCAGCGCAGAGAAAGGATGCCATAAAAAGACAGCTTGACCTAGAGGGAAAAATACACAGTCTAGAGACTCAGTTCAAATTATCTCGCAATAGCTCTCTGGCAAAACAGCTGGATGTTGCACGTTCTGCTTTTAATCAGCTATTAACCAGAAAGGCAGAGACACAAATATTTTTTGCTAAACACAGGTTATTTGAATCAGGCAACAAACCTCGCAGATTACTCGCACGTCTTGCTCGAGACAAAACCGAACCTAATGTAATTCCCTCTCTAATAGACAGAAATGGGTCCAGGCGCCTCAAATCAGCTGATATAAGTCATACAATGATGCTGTTTTATAAAGATCTCTATAGCTCAGATTGTACATCTTCTGATGTGGCTAGGGCAAATTTTCTTAACAAAATCAAGCTACCATCCTTATCTGATGCGCAGAAAGCAGATCTGTGCAATCCAATTAATAAGGAAGAAGTGTCCGAAGCCATATGTACTTTCAAGGGAGGTAAAGCCCCGGGACCAGATGGCTTTGGTCCTGAGTTCTATAAAAAGTTTAGTAAAATAATAGTTAGCCCCCTCACAGATATGTACTCGGATTCTTTTGACAGGGGCTGTCTCCCCCCCCACTTTAAACCTCGCCAATAGCTCTGTCATTTTGAAGAAAGATAAACCCCCTGATATGTGTGGTTCCTACAGGCCGATTAGTTTGATCTCAGTTGACAGCAAATTACTTTCAAAACTCCTTGCCAGGCGGCTGGAAAAACTACTCCCAACACTCATAAACTCAGACCAGACAGGCTTCGTTCATGGACGCTACTCAAGCAGCAATGTGAGAAGACTTTTGAATATTGTACAGTTCACTTCTCAGCATAAACAGAAGGCGCTGGCCGTCTCACTTAACGCCGAAAAGGCCTTCGACAGGGTTGAGTGGAGCTACTTGTTTGACGTGCTGGGGAGATTTGGGCTGGGGGGGACTTCCTTAAGTGGATCAGAACTATATTTCATTCACCAACAGCTATTATTATAACTAATGGTCGGCGCTCTGAACCGTTCCCTGTGGCAAGAGGTGTACGCCAGGGGTGCCCACTCAGTCCGCTCCTCTTCGCCTTAGCATTAGAGCCATTAGCTGAAAACATTCGGATGCATGGAAGTGTAAGAGGAATAACGATGGGGAATATGGAACACAAAATTGCCTTATACGCAGACAATATTCTTTTTTTTTTTATCATCTCCTAGAATATCAATTGATGTCATCTTTACAATCTTCAATGAGTTTAGTGTCATATCTGGCTGATCCAAGGGGACCAACTGACAACCCAGACCTCTATAATTACCACCACCGCCACACGAGGGAGCTGTTGTCAAATAAATAAAAAGAGCCTTGCATAGATAGAGATGAAAGATACAACTGTCTATTAAATCTATATCTCAAAGGAATAAGATCAGAAGATAACTTTACAGAAAATTAAAGGAACACTGTGAACACAGCAGTACATTTTGACGAACTACAATTATCTACAATAACCCCATTGCACATTATCAGCTTTCTCCATAGAGCCTGTTAGCATAGCTACCAAGCAATATGGCGGACATTGAGTTTCGATTCTGGGAGTGAGGTCCCACCCACTGATCTGTGATAGGTCTGTAGCTTCAGTGGGTCCAGTGCAGAGGTCGGGGTGTGACAATGCCCTGCTACACACAGAAACACACACAGAAACATGATGTTTAAGATGAATCCTTTATTTAAATGAGTCAAACAGATTAGAACAAGAGGAAGAACAAGAGGATCTACTGAAGATCTACTGAGAATCTACTGAGGATCTACTGAAGATCTACTGAAGATCTACTGAGGATCTACTGAAGAGCTACTGAGCATCTACTGAAGATCTACTGAAGATCTACTGAAAATCTACTGAAGATCTACTAAACATCTACTGAAGATCTACTGAGGATCTACTAAAGATCTATCTGATGGATCCTCTGTAGATCCAATCTAGATCTTGTGATCTTCTTCAGGGCAGCTCAGGGCAGCGTCTCCACATGGACCTTGGAGAGCGTGACATCGTTGTAGATGTTGAATGATCTGATGGTGCTCAGGTCTCTGACCCGGTGGCTGAACGTCAGCAAGTGTGATTTGTTCACAGCGACCTTGAACTCGGCGTTGGTGCAGAGGATCTTCATCTGCAACAACAAAAACAAAAACCTGTCATCAGAGGCTCATATGTTTGTGTACTGGCCCTTTAAATACACGTTACGGTGCATTCAGGGACCCTTCTGAATGTCATTGTAAGAAGACTGTAAAAGGCTTTAGAAGTTATTTATCAAGGTTGTTTGAGTCAAATGTTTGACCTCGAAAGGTTGTCCCTGAGTGAAGGGGAAGCTGGGACAGTCTCTCTCTTCTTTCCCCCACTTATCGTAGATCCTGCTGTTCCTGACGATCACCTTCTTTCCCCCTTCATTAAAGCGTGGGTTGAAGTGGAAGGCCAGGTCTTTCCCTGCGTGCATATCCAATGTGATCCTGAGAAAACATCAGAGGCCATCAGTTCCTGTTGTTACAGACACGAGTGTAAAGGCAGGTAATCACAGATCAGTGAATCAACACTGGACCGGACGCTCAACTAAATGAACTTTAAATACATATGACAGATGTTCAATATTCAGGTTTTCAACAAAGCATTTTTCATCTTTATGAATTATTGAGATTACTGGGTTCACACTGACTTTTTGGCGTTGGGGTTGACGGTTCCCATGATGGTGATCAGCAGTTTGTCAAAAGCTCCATGATTAAGAGACTGAGAGTACGGAACTTTCTGTGGACAAGAAAACACATGTCAACTACATCCATCCTTCAATCATCCGTTCATCCCTCTATCCATCATACATTTATCATCCATCCATCAATCATCCATCATACATTTATCATCCATTATCCATCAATCATCTGTCCTTCAATCATCCATCCATGCATCCATCATCCATTATCCACCCACCCTTTCATCATCCATCCATCCTTCATACATCCATCTATCAACCATTCATCTATCATCCATCAATCATCCATCAATCCATCATCAATCAATCATCATCCATCCATAATCCATAATTCGCAATCCATAATCAATAATCCATAATCCATAATCCATCCATCCATCCATCATTATTTATCTCTTCCTCACCAGAACCTGTTGGGCGGGTCCAGGTGCGGGTCCAGGTGCGGGTCCAGATGCGGGCCCAGGTGTGGGTCCATTCCAGCCACCCTGTTGTGTGTTGGGCTGAGTGGGTGGACCAGGCCAGCTACCTCCACCTCCACCTCCACCTCCAGGCCAGGAGGGGTTGTTGGGTTGTCCAGCTGCGGGTCCAGGTGCAAAGGGTTGTGTGTTGGGCTGAGTGGGTGGACCAGGCCAGCTACCTCCACCTCCACCTCCACCTCCAGGCCAGGAGGGGTTGTTGGGTTGTCCAGCTGCGGGTGGACCAGGCCAGCTACCTCCACCTCCACCTCCAGGCCAGGAGGGGTTGTTGGGTTGTCCAGCTGCTGGTGGACCAGGCCAGCTACCTCCACCTCCACCTCCACCTCCAGGCCAGGAGGGGTTGTTGGGTTGTCCAGGTGCAGAGGGCCAGCTGCCGCCTCCTATAGCGTCAGAGAGCTGCAGATACACACACACACACACAATTTCAATTCAATTCTTTTAACAGCATGATTAAACCTCAGCACTGACAGGAAGCAGCTGACTCAGTACAGGTGAGGGTACTTTACCTGTAGCTACAGGTGTAGTAGAGGGGGAAAGCACCCCTCCACCTTCTAACTGAGAGACCAGAAGCTATACCACTGATCCACAGCTGCCCCACCCTGTGTGTTTGTGTGTGATGGGGGTGTGTTGGTGACAGATTCATCAGGAATGTTCAGTATGAAGGTGTTGGTTTGGAGATGAATGCCACCTTATTTTAACACACACACACAGACAGAGACACACACACACACACACACACACACACACAGACAGACACACATATAGACACACACACACACACACACACATACACACACAGCGACAGACACATACACACACACTCAGAGACAGACAGACACACACACACAGACAGACACACACACACACACACACACACACACACACACACACAGACAGACAGACAGACACACACACACAGACACACACACACACACACATACACACACAGCGACAGACACATACACACACACACACAGAGACAGACAGACACACACAGACAGACACACACACATACACACACACACAGAGACAGACAGACACACACAGACACACACATACAGACAATGCCCTACAGGTGGAGGGGGTTAGGAGTCTGCTGTAAAAGCACCATAGAAGAAGACAAAGCCATTAAAATAACATGAAAATGTTTGTTACATGTGTAAAGAGGTTAGAGATCATTATAGATGTTTAAAGAACGAGCAGGAGCTGTGAGAGGATGACATCAAATACATGAACCTTCATCACTGATGAAACTGTTGGTCATGTGATCAAACTTGTCTTCTGCTCTCACTTACTAAATCAAAACGTGCCCACACGTCTTTCTTTACTTTGTGTTGGCTCAGAAACACCGAAAGGAGAGAATAAACATCGACATTTGAACAACTGAATCATGAAAGATCATAAAGAGACTCACGTCCATCCTGCTGCTTCGTTTCCTCAAACACAGACAAGTCTGAAAAGAGCAGAAGAAGAAAACATGAGAGGGCGTGGTGGGCGAGTCCCAACTGGAACAAACAACACATTCATCACTTGCTCTCAGGTGACAGCAGGTCACATGACAGTGTCTCATTTTGACCACAGGATCATCCAGATGCCTTTATTCTGAGCCTCATCATGAAAATAATGAACAGAACAGGAATTCATTTCTCTGCATGTATTTTTATGGAGACGCCACATGTTCAGGAAAAGCACATCGGCACCCCCTGTAGGATGATAAAGTACCCACTGGGAGCCTCGGTAGAGAAAATGTGATGAAGTAACCACATGAAGAGAAAACATGATAAAGAGTTGCAACACAAACCTGAATCAAAACACAGCACTGAAAGTCAGAGAGAATAACAGCTGTTGAGGAAATGTCTCTTTAAGTCTGTGTGTGCGTGTGTCTGTGTGTGTGTCTGTGTGTAGAAAAGACTCAAAACAATAAAAGTGTATATGTGAATAAAAACAAGAGACTTTTTAGGTTCAGATTCACTTCCTGTTTGTCTTCCTGGCTAACACACACACGGAGTGTGAGTGAAACTAAGACAACACAGACACACACACACACGGAGTGTGAGTGAAACTAAAGACAACACAGACACACACACACACACACAGAAACTGAATTAGCGTAGAGTAAAGGGAACTTACCTGGGAGCTGAAACACACACAAACACTTCGAGTGTGAGAGAAACATGAGAGTTTCAATCCTGAGCCTCGCCCTGCTCACATCTAGACCACACCCACCCACACACACACACACACTCACTCACACACACACACACACACACACACACACACACACACACACACACACACACACACACACACACACACACACACACACACACACACACACACACACACACACACACAGTGAGTCAGGGGGTATTTTGGAGGGTTGCCATGTAAACTTTATTTATAAAGCCTTGTTTGTTTTTGAAAACACACGCACAGATCAAAGAGGAACTGTGATGGATTATGTTTGTTATGATGTGTTACCATGGTTACCATGGAAACGTATAAAGGGATTCCAGTAAGACCTTCCCTCCTTCTTTGAGACTTTTGTGGTCATCTCAGTGAATGGCACTGCGTCGCTCATGGGCAGTTAGGACACTCCAATAGGAAACAATTGACTCAGGCTGAGTAACTCGCTGACGCTCGCTCGCTGTAGTGTGATTCCTCTGCAGTAGGGGGCGATATGCTCTTTTCAGAGAGTTACATTTGGATTCTTTAAGTTGACCTCTTTCTGAACAGAATCACGGCCAATGTTTTTGTGCAGTCTAATCTAATTTAGACTGAAGTCACTGGATTAGTCATTCATCTGTGTACGCTCCAGGCAGTGAGATCAGACTGTGTGTTGAGGGTCAGGGGTCTTTGTGAGATCAGACTGTGTGTTGAGGGTCAGGGGTCTTTGTGAGATCAGACTGTGTGTTGAGGTAAGGGGTCTTTGTGAGATCAGACTGTGTGTTGAGGGTCAGGGGTCTTTGTGAGATCAGACTGTGTGTTGAGGGTCAGGGGTCTTTGTGAGATCAGACTGTGTGTTGAGGGTCAGGGGTCTTTGTGAGATCAGACTGTGTGTTGAGGGTCTGGGGTCTTTGTGAGATCAGACTGTGTGTTGAGGGTCTGGGGTCTTTGTGAGATCAGACTGTGTGTTGAGAGTCTGGGGTCTTTGTGAGATCAGACTGTGTGTTGAGGGTCAGGGGTCTTTGTGAGATCAGACTGTGTGTTGAGGGTCTGGGGTCTTTGTGAGATCAGACTGTGTGTTGAGAGTCTGGGGTCTTTGTGAGATCAGACTGTGTGTTGAGGGTCAGGGGTCTTTGTGAGATCAGACTGTGTGTTGAGGGTCAGGGGTCTTTGTGAGATCAGACTGTGTGTTGAGGTAAGGGGTCTTTGTGATGGACTCATTGGTCTCCTTAACACCAGTCTGATGAAACACATGTCGTCTAATTAAAGCTTTTGATGCTCGATCATTCAAATCACAGACATCGTTTCATTAGGAGTCAGAGCTAACAAAAAACAAGCAGGAGTTCATAGTAACATTAAGTGTGGCTCTCTCTCTCTCTCTCTCTCTCTCTCTCTCTCTCTCTCTATCTATCTATCTATCTATCTATCTCTCTGGAAATTCAAAAATACTCTGAGCTTCTTCAGCCTGAGTCAAATACGTGATCAATAATGGCCACCAAAAGGATCTCTCTACATCAACACGTGATGGTTAATTAGCATATTAGCAGCTGATGAACTAGCAGCTCCGCCCTCTTCTCCAAATATGTTCTTTAAAGAGTGGAGTAACAACTGACACACACGCAGGAATCAGGTGTGTGTGTGTGTGTGTGTGTGTGTGTGTGTGTGTGTGTGTGTGTGTGTGTGTGTGTGTGTGTGTGTGTGTGTGTGTGTGTGTGTCTGTCTGTCTCTGTGTGTGTGTGTGTGTGTGTGTGTGTGTGTGTGTGTTAAAATAAGGTGGCATTCATCTCTAAACCAACACCTCCATACTGAACATTCCTGATGAATCTGTCACCAACACACCCCGTCACACACACACACACAGGGTGGGGCAGCTGTGGATCAGTGTTAAAGTAGGTAAAGGTAAAGTACCCTCACCAGTATGAAGGTGTTGGTTTGGAGATGAATGCCACCTTATTTTAACACACACACACACACACACACACACACACACACACACAGACAGAGAGAGCTGAAAGCCGAGTCTGTCTTTCTGTACTGGTGTTTTTCTGCCCCCTGCTGGACAACAGTGAAGACTGCAACTCTGAGTACAGTAATACAAATCAACTAGAACAAACGATAGAGGAGTCCAGCTGGGGGAGACTCCCCCTGGTGGTGAAATCAGTCTGAATGTATCCAAGATAAAATGTGGATTTATTCCCTCAGTAAACATGCTCTTAATATTTATACATGAACCGTGCAATATATCTACGCTGTTAATGCATCAGTGTATATTCATATTTGTAAATATTGTTTATATTCTCAGTTACCTGCACTTGAACATAGCTTATTATTATTACTACTTTTATTATTGCTTTCACTTGGTACTTATGCTTATTATATTTTATTGCGATTGCTATTTTATTTTATATTGTGAACTTATCTGTACTTCCTACTGATTTTGGTGTTATGAGCAACTGTAGTAAACACATTTCCCCCTGGGATTAATAAAGTATTTCTGATTCTGATTCTCTTTAAAGAGTTTATGGTCTCAATCTCTAGTTTTAAGTCATCTTCAACACAGCATGATGTTCATTTAGTCAATCATTGTCCAATTAGAGTCAAAGAGACCAGGAAGAGGACAGGGGTTGGGGGCGGGGCTACAACCTGGAACCAAAGTGGAGACTCAAGGATGAGGCTGTAAACTTGTGTGATGTCACCGAATCACAGTGTGTTCACTGTATTGTATATGATGACATCACAGTGTGATATATTTGATGACATCACAGTGTGTTGTATTTATTAGTGTATTTCGTTCCTTTAATGATAATGTGACTGTTGTCTGTTTAACATGTTGAAGTGTCTCTGTTTGAGCAGCAGGGGGCAGCAGAGTGACATTAACCCAATCAGGGTGTGATACAATCTGTCTGTCAGCAGGTGTCGCTGCTGAGCTGCAAACGTCATCATGCAGTAACACTTCCTGTTCTGTTTTTCTCATTAAGAGATCAAACTGTGGTCAGACTGCTGACTCTACAAACAGGAAGTGATGTAATCATCTGATCTGAGGTCAGAATGAACCTTAAATACAGACCTGCAGCGAGACAGACAAAGCGAAGACCATTCTGTGTGTGTGTGTGTGTGTGTGTGTGTGCGCACATGTGTGTGTGTGTGTGTGTGTGTGTGTGTGTGTGTGTGTGTGTGTGTGTGTGTGTGTGTGTGTGTGTGTGTGTCTCTGTGTGTGTGTGTGTGAGTGTGTGTGTGTGTTGTTAGTGTGTGTGTGTGTGTGTGTTTCAGTAAACCCAGTATGTGGGCCTCCTTTAAACTGGGATAATCCTCGCTGAGCTGCTGACCTCGAAATAAACAAAAAACAGAAACCCATCACACACATACACACACACACACACACACACACACACACACACACACACACACACACACACACACACACACATACACACACAGGCTTTATAGGTTAAAGGAGTGTTGCTTTGCTTCATGTTGACAGAATGAATATATCAGATCTATAAGATATATTTCTAGTAATAAACTTTAAGTAAAAGAAGAGTATCAGAATAATGTTCTCAATCTTGTAATCATTTATACATCAGGGTGATCATTAAAGTTAGTTTTGCCCTCACTCTGCCTCTGCCCTCTGAGTTCAGTTTTTATGTGGCGCAATTGTGATTTGTGACTCAGATCTCTGATTGTTGATACACAGTTTGCCACTGTCTGAAATCTCTGAAGTCTGAAATCTCCGGGGGTCGTTTAGGATGTGTTTCAGGACAGAGTCCGTCCAAAAGACAGAGTCTGTGAGATTTAACTCAAATTCTCTTTTCAGCATTCTGTCGATCCTAGTAGCAAGGTCAGCGGCAGCAAGCTCCAGCCTTGGGATCGTTATCACCTTCAAGGGTGCAATTCTTGCCTTTCCCATCACAAATGCTATGTGAATTAGTCCATTGCTGCTGGTCATTTTCAGGTTGGCGGCTGTTCCTTAACCTCGCTCACTTGCATCACAGAAGTGATGCAGCTGGGAGCTAGAGATGTCAAAGTTTGGCGGTCTTAAGCATCTCTTGACCTTCAGGTTGGAGCTCTGCCCTCCCTCGGCCCTTACTTTGACCTCATTCAGCCCTCACTCTGCCTTTACTCTGCCCTCACTCTCCCTTCGATCTGCCCTCACTCTGCCCTCACTTTGACCTCACTCTGCCCTCACTCCAAATCATAACCATTATATTGATTATGATCTCAAATTATTTTAATACATGATACTTAAACTGAAAACCTGACCAGCTGAATCATCTGAGCTTCTTTTATTAAAACCAAACTCTGAAGAAGACATTTTATAGCTTATCATGGTAGTGACCTGACAATCCAAGGTAGCTCCGTCCCTAACTCAGTCCCTCTTCCTAGTCTCTGTGACTCTAAATGGACCATAATTGTCAAAAAGACATCATGCTGTGTTGAAGAAGACTTGAAACTACAAATTAAGATCATAAACGCAGAAAAGTTTTTTTTTTTTTTTTTTAAATGGAGTCACCCCCTGCAGGACTTTAAAGAGAATACATTTGACATGTTTTCTTACTTTGAGACCACAGTCAGTAGGGTTACATGGTACTAGATATTTGAATTTCTGATCGTATCAGACACTGTTTGGACTTTTAAAATGCATGTAAACATCTTAGTCCGACCTACATCGGACTAAAATCGGACCATAACGGACATCTCATAATCGGAAAAGAACACCTAGATAAGTCGTTCATAGTTGGCGACGAAGTCACGTTCTGCGCATGTTCAAGAATTTTTGCCAGGGCTTTCACCCGGAAGTGGAAGGAGACGACATAAAGCCAGATAGTTTGTTGTTGCTGTGACGTATAGGTCAACTGGAAGTGGCTCTATAACCACTTTTGAAAGGGGTACAGCGCCACATAGTGTAGCTGAGTGAGCCATGCTCCGGCCATTTATACGATTCTCTGATTGGCATATATATACTCAGACAAGTGACAGCTGTCCGTTTGAGTAGCAAATCGGCATATGGCTTAATCCTATCAAGCTATCCCATGTAAGCGCACTGACTGTCGTCTTATGACCATCCTGAGG